ACCTTCTTCTAATTTCATATCCAGTAATCCCCAGAGAGAGCTGGCTCAGCCCGCAATAGTCCACAACTACTCAAAACCCCAACAATGTACAATAATTACAATCTACCCCTGTGGCATCTATTAACCTTTCTTTTCTCATGCTTTGTCTCTCCAATTAGGCTGTAGTTAAATAAGGTAAGGAATTTCTGACATTTCTCCTGCAGCTATCACATCCGATAGTATGTAAGGATGACCAAATATTAGATAATACATTTCAGTAATTCACACATTAAGAGGCTAGAATTATAGGGAGAATATCACAATGCTTTCAATAATTACAGGAGAAAAATTTGATACATTTGCACATTCATTCATAATAAAATCTGCTATACAAATGAAAAGAATATCTTTCACAAAAATGCCTTTTATAAGTCATCATATTAAAGGCATTCATCTAAGTAAGTAAATGACTTGCAGCAACAGTAGATATAGGGAAAATGCTCAAAGCATTCCTTGTGTTATGGCAAATTATGGTGCTATCCTGGATCAGCTGTTCTGTCTGTGCTAATATGCCTGGAAATACTGTGGAACAAGGGCCTGCCTCCTAGTTTTCACGTGGCCCCGTCCCTGCCCGTAAGGCCATGTGAGGCGTGAAGGGGCAGCTGGATGATCTCTCCTTCTGTCATTCTGCCTTCCAAATAAATAAAAAATCAGGGCGGGGTGAGCATCATTTTTACAATCCAGGAGACAAGAACAGTGGCTATCACCAATCCTATTCAACAATTTTCTAGTGATACTAGTTAATGAAGAAAGACAAGAAAAACTAATAAAAATAAGAAATGAAAAGGAGCAATTTCAGGCCTAGTTGTTAAAGTCCTCATCTTGCATTCACCAGGATTCTATATGAGTGCCAGTTTGTATCCAGGCTGCTTCACTTCCCTTCCAGCTCCCTGCTTGTGGCCTGGGAAAGCAGTTGGGAATGGCCCAAAGCCTTGGGATCCTGCAGCTGTGTGGGAGACCCAGAAGAAGTACCTGGCTCCTGGTTTCAGATTGGCTCAGTCCTCACCAATGCAGCTACTTCGGAAGTGAACAAATAGATCTAAGATTTTTATCTGTATAAAAAATATGCCTTTCCAATAAAAATAAATAAATCTTAAAAAAAAAAGAGCAAATTCTCATTTGATGATGGAATTAAAAATGTTAGGGGTGGGGGGAAGTTCATGAAATACACAAATATATCATAAGGATTAATAGTCTAGCAAGTTTCCTGGACACAAAAATTAAAATACAAATGTGAACTTACTCTATGTAATAATTTTCATAAAATATCATATTATACATAAACACTTGCAAAATTTCAATGGTCAGATAATTCCATATACTGAAGGATGTGGACAAAAGGGAATTCATATCTATAGTGGAAAATGGCAGTATACAGTTAGACTGACTCTGTACAAGTCCTCTAACGTTCTCCAGTGTAGTTATACATCATTGAGAAATGGTTGTAGATAGGCAGAAGATATGATAAGAAATGTTCAGGGGCCAGCATTATGGCTCAAATGGCTAATCTTCTGCCTGAAGCTGCCACTGCTTAAAATGGGCCCTGGTTCTTATCCTGGTGGCTCCACTTCCCATTCAGCTCCCCGCTTATGATCTGGAAAAGCAGTGGAGGATAGCTCAAAGTATTGGACCCTCTAACCACATAGGAGACTCAGGAAAAGCACCTGGCTCCCGGCTTTGGATTGTTCTAGCTCTGGCAGATGCAGCTAGTTTAAGGAGTGAACCAGTGGAGGGAAGGGCTTTTTCTCTGTCTCTCCTTCTCTCTGTAAATCTGCCATTCAAATGCAAATGAATTATTTTTTTTTTTTTTAAGAGAGAAATGTCCAGAGCAGCAGCATTTGTAATAACCACACATTATAAACAACCCGGAAGTGCAGCAATAGTGGAATGGATGGACTGGAATACACTCATAGGACAGAGTTCCATTTGTCACTGAAGAATGATTCAGAGCCTTGGGGCAAACACAGATGAATCCCAGGAAGACAGTCATGAACAAACAGAAAATTACAGGTGAATATATGTAGCATTATTTCCAAGTTATGAAATTTAAATCCTGGAATAACAACAACACTGTACTATTTGAAGGTGCACACATGAGTAGCAGAAGTATGAAATGAAGAATTAAGCAAAATAAAATTCAAGGCAGTGGTCATTTTTGAATGGGGAGGTAAAGGCGACAAATGCAAATGAATGTCACCAAGTAGATGAAGAGGATACTATTGGTATGCTAATTCTTTAACACTCACCTCCAGGTTTATCTATTTGAAAGATTTACTTCTAGTGACCAAGAAGCATATTCTACCCACTCCCCAAATGCCACCAGCAGCCAGGGCTGGGCCAGGCCAAGACTAAAAGCCAGGAACTGGGTCCCTTGGGTGAACCTGGCTCCTTGAGCCACTGCCTGCTGCTTCACAGGGTGTGTGTGACCAGCAGGCTCACCGGAAGTGGAGCTGAGCCCTACACCCAAGCAGGATACAGTGTAACACATGACACAGTGTCCCAAGCAGCAACACAACCACTGGCTCAAAGCCCCCACCCTTATTCTACCTTTCAACGGTTTCAATACCATTCATTAGGCTGCATAGCCAAGTTCCGTATATTCCACATTTTTCATATGCTTTGCAGGGTGGAAGGAAAAAAGGAACAGGAGAAAGGAAAAGAGAGAAGAAAGTAAAACTACTGAGAAGTTATAAAATCCTCGAAATGCAGTGAAAAGTCTGCCATGGTAACCTCCTCCGGAAGGAGAACAGACCACTGTGCACACTGTTGGAGCAAGACGCATGGGCACCAAGACTGCGAGCGGCTGAAACAAGACAGCCCACCGAGGACTAAAATTAGACTCTTTTCACTACACTTGATGAAGCACTTGTCATAATACAGATGTTTTATGGCTGAAAGCATGACTGAAAACACTGGAATTTTCTTATTTAAAAACAAGAGTTTCACCAGATTAAATTTCCTCTAAAATTTCTTAAGTACTAAGTTGGAAATCAGCAGAACCCACTTTCCCATTTCTTCAATTACTTGTTATTATAAAACAAGCATATGCATAAGACTGGGAGGGGGGTGATGGTGGTGGTGGCATTTTTCCCTTCCATGCTTTGGAAATCTGCAAGGTACTACTTTTATGTATGACCATCCACCACAAATAGGTTTAATTCCAAATTGTTCTACTGAGAGGAGAAAAAGGCAATTAAAGTGTCAACACTCAGGAGATCAGCCAAACAACCTTTTGGCAAATGCTAGCATAAATGTTTTCGTAACCTATGCTGTGTAAGGTCACTATTTCAATTCCACAATCATACATATCTCTGCTTCCAGAGATTTGATTCCCTGGGTTTTAAAGGACTGGAGACTATTCCTCAAACCTGAGGACTGTAGAGAAATCCAAGTTTGGAATCTGTAGTCAATTTGGCAGGCTCTGGTGCTAGTTGCACATGCGGAGAAGGCAGGCAAGGCTGGGCGGAATCAGAGAGCGGATGCAGGGACTGCCTGCTGAACATCTGAGCCAGGAACCTAGGTGTGGGCCTTCTCCTGAACCCATCAAACTCCACCTGCTATGGGAAGCTAACTACTCCCTGAGTAACATGCCCACAGGTCAACTGAGAGTTGGGCTCATGTCACCGAGAGTGAGGGCATACATACTTTGTCACAGATATTGGGAGCACTTTTACTTTTATTTATTATTATTGCAAAGTCAAATAAACAAAGAGGAGAGACAGAGAGTAAGATCTTCCGTCCAGTGATTTATTCCCCAAGTGAGCACAATGGGCAGAACTACACCAATCCGAAGCCAGAAGCCAGGAGCTTCTTCTGGGTCTACCATGAGGGTCCAGGGTCCCAAAGCTTTGGACCATCCTTGACTGCTTTCCCAGGCCACAAGCAGGGAACTGGATGGGAAGTGGAGCTGCAGATTAGAACTGGCGCCCATATGGGATTCTGGCACATGCAAGGTGAGGACTTCAGCCGCTAGGCTGTTGCACTGGGCCCTGAAGCCTTGCTTTATAATAGTGACCGAGTAACATTTGAGATGAAGAGATGAGGAAACACAAGAAAGGAAAAACAAGATAGCACGGGCTGCACAGGTCTCAGCTAGGGAATCTAGGTCACGCCTGGAATAGGAGTCTGATGGAGTACAGCATGGATGGTAGGGAGTGGTGGGAATGGTGCCAGCCCAGCCTTTCCAGGCATGCCAGCCCTTGGCCGGGATCCTGAAAAATGAGACATCCCAAGTCAGACACATTTCCGCACATTCCTCTCCCTCCCCTGCCTCTAGCTACTTACAGACTGCTGAAACTTTTTAATTTTTTAAAATAATAGTCGGATATGAAAGCTATGCATGTTTATCCCACAGTGTTTTAGTCTAAATACATGCACAAAAGGAATCTCCTTGTGAAAATCCATGTTGCATATTTACTCCAAGTGATATCCAAAACCTCTTCTGGAATTCTTTCAGTGTTGGGCTTCAGAATCCTGGGCATCTCCTTGTCAATACCTTCAGTGATGAAGATGCTTCATTCTAAACAGGAAGTCTTGTTTCTCTTAGCTATGTAAGCAGATGTTCAAGGACTCCACTTAAAATGCCAGAATAGATGGTGAATGAATCAGACATGGACCTATAGGTTTTAGATCAAGTTATAATTAAATGGTAGATAATGTATGGAACATACAATTTTTTTAAATGAAAAATAAAAAAGCAAAAAACATGTGTCTGGTATGGCTCATCCACTAGAACCAAGAAGAGCAGTTCCAAGGAGGAACAGAGACCCTGCTGAGACCCTCCCAACTCCCCGATGGTACTGGACACAGCGGGTCAGCTTCCTTGTATCCCCATGCTATTCCTGTGAGCTGCTGCCCACACTCCCAAGGGCTGCTCTTGCACCAAGTGTCGGCAAGGTGCCTCTTCCCGCTGTGGGGCTGGGTTCTGAGGAGTCTCTGACCACGTGTTCTGTATAATCCCTACCCAGCAGATATTTATCTGCACACTGTTACATTTAAGAGCGACACGAATGTTCAAATCTGGGTAATTTGGGTTTCATTTTACTTGAGAAAGAGGTAGGGCTGCCATATATTGGTCCACCCTCAGACACCTGCAAGGGCAGGGAAGGCAATCCAAGGTTCACAAATGAGCGGCAAGAACCCCCTCCTAGGGTCTGCATTCCCAGAGGCTGAGTCCGGAGCTGGAGCCAAGAGGCCAACTTGAGCTATTCTAATATGGAAGGTGTATTTCCTAACATCTTAAGTACTAAATATCCATTCCCAAACCTAGGTTTATGAAAATAAAACCTGGGCCCGGCACGGTGGCGCAAGTGGTTAAAGGTCCTCGCCTTGCACGCCCGGGATCCCATATGGGCGCCGGTTCTAATCCCGGCAGCCCCGCTTCCCTTCCAGCTCCCTGCCTGTGGCCCGGGAAGGCGGTCGAGGACGGCCCAAAGCTTTGGGACCCTGCACCCGTGTGGGAGACCCGGAAGAGGCTCCTGGCTTCGGATCGGCATAGTATCGGCCCCTTGCGCTCACTTGGGGAGTGAATCATCGGACGGAAGATCTTCCTCTCTGTCTCTCCTCTCTGTATATCCGCCTTTCCAATGAAAAAATAATAAAAATAAATCTTTAAAAAAAAGAAAATAAAACCTACATTATATCATTTCATTACACTACTTTCTCCTGCAACATAACATATCAGAAATTCTGAAGTCTCCGTGCTCCTAAGACACTAGCATCCTATCTATTTTTGGTACATCTGTTGAAAAGTTTTACTGCTTCATAGTTACATCCTATACATATGCAACTTGTGTGTGTGTGTGTGTGTGTGTGTAGGCACATTTATATGCAAACTTATAACAGACGTTCATAAAATATGAATGATGAACAAAATAAGGCAATACTTTGATGTTAAAAGGTGCACTCCTTAACTGAAATGACACATAATTACATTCTTAGTAATCACTGAGACTTATGATTATTGTCTATGGAATGTGGTGACTTCTCTTTAGCTCAACTAAAACGTCATGGCAAGCAGCCAAAGGCCTAGGCCACAGATTCTGTAGACTCTGATGGGTTTACCCAAAAGACTAAGCCAGGTACCCAAAACTGGCATCGCATTACCCATGAGAACTTGGGCAGTATGTGGCCCTAGGGTAGGATGTGGTGGAGCCTGTCAATTCTGGGCACACATTCACCCACTCAACCTGCCTTCCTTTCTGATGACGACCTCAGAGTTTTAGGAGAGATCTCACTTCTCATCATGCAAAGGTAGAACATATCTGTGACAGTTTTCAATGCAAATGTGTCATAATATATATGAATATATATATATATATATCCAACTGTTGTAAGATGGAAATATGAAGCTCCCTTTATAAATAAGGGAGTGATTTCAGGAAAAGCAGCAGAAATCATTTTGGATGATTTTTTCTTCTTATTCAATATTAACAATATGTAAATTACTTGTGTGATTGGCAAAAATTTAGAATGTATCCTGATGAAGAACCAAGTATGACGTACACGGAGGTGTGCTCACTGTCTCACCCACACATACATAGCTTCCAAAAGTGTACATCCTCAAGTGCACATATGTCTTCAATGCGGTCTTGGAGGAAAGATGCAGCCCGGGAAACAATCAGAGAAGCAGATGAAAGGTATTGTAGATGACTGCCCAGGAGACACAGTGCTGTGCTAAACTTGAGACATAGATGGCACAGTGGGTGGGAGATGCATTTTTAACATTTACCACCTGCTTAGCAAATGTCACCCCAGTCAATCATGATGCTCACCAAATTTCTGACTTCCTAGAACAAACCATTCCAGTCCTAATTGTCATATTTCCCCCAAGTATATTAAATGCTCTTATATTTCTTAAAGAGCGGAGGGGGAAAAATCATTCTAATAGAATTTTATTTTAATAGAATCAAATATTATCAGAAATGTATGATTTTTAAAAATATTTATTTATTTTTATTGGAAAGGTAGATATACAGAGAAGAAGAGAGACAGAGAGGAAGATTTTTCCATTCAATGGTTCACTCCCCATGCAGCCACAATGGCTGGAGCTGAGCCAATCCGAAGCCAGGAGCTCTTCCGGGTCTCCCATGTGGGTCCAGGGTCCCAGGCTTTGGGCCATCCTCGACTGCTTCCCCAGGCCACGAGCAGGGAGCTGGATGGGAAGTGGGGCTGCCAGGATTAGAACTGGCACCCATACAGGATCCTGGCACATTCAAGGTGAGGACTTTAGCCACTATGCTATCACGCCAGCCTGATAATGTTTTTTGTGATTATGTTTTAATCTAACAGTATGAAAAAAATAACTCATGGAAATTGTCAACTTAGACAAAACATAGCAAGTTTTAAAATCGAAATTGTGAACTCAGACAGAATGTGGTAAAGTATATATGATACACTCACAAAGATAAAACAACAGCACCCCACAGCAACAACTAAAAGCCCTGGGAGAAATAATTCAGATAATGTAAACAACTACCACTATTTCGTTAGAATATCCTAACAAAGCATTTAAAGAAGTTTTGGAGGAATGCTACATTAATTACTTCTACCCATCACCTTATATCCTCCATCTGTCAAGCAAATTGCTATCACCTGACTATGAAGCAAATAATTCCGAAAACAATTCATTTGCCACGCAGGACAGTGACAGAGACATGTTCCATCACACACATACACACTGCCGTACTCCCAGCACACAGTATACTGAAGGACCAGCACAATGGCTCAACCTGAAAATGCTGGCATCTCATATGGGTGCCTATTCATGTTCTGGCTGCTCTGATTCTGAAGCCTTGGGACCCTGCATCCAAGTGGGAGATCTTAAAGAAGCTTCTGGCTTTGCATCAGCTCAGCTCTGGCCATTTGGGCCATTTAGAGAAAGAAACCAATGGATGGTTTCTCTGTGTCCTTCTCTGTAAATCTGCCTTTACAAGAAAAATAAATAAATTTTTTGAAAATATATTTACTGAGAATCTGTTTAAGGAGCTGAACTAATCACGTAAGGACATATCATTAACCAAAACAAAATACCAAGATACCTAACCAATGAATATTTGCTGACCTAGTAAAAGTAGACCAGCGACCTCTTTACTAAGAAGATCAACTAAATCTGGAATAGAGAAGTGGTGGTACCATATGACCACAAGAAAGCAAAAGGCATGGAAATTAAGACTCCAAATACAATTGGGAACTAACAATTTTTTTAATGCCTCTACTCTTCAGTGGTCAGAAAAAAAAATTTTAGTGACCTGCCACTTGCATGCCAATTGAACTGATCTAAAATCCTAGTGCATCTTTCTTTCATTGCTATAATCTGGGTGGTAGCAGGTACATATTTAGTAAGTACCATAGAAAGGAGGTGACAGCTAATGCAAAGCCTGTTTTTAAACTCTGTCATGGTAATTTGCTTCCCATCTAAGCACAGGAAGTTTAACATTTGCAAACTTACATGCAATCCTGACTCATAATTTGCAAAATATGGCATGGTGCTTTCTATCTTTATGCCTTTTTTTTAAAAAAAAGATCCATTTATTTTTATTGGTAAGGGGAGAGATAAAGATCTTCCATCTGCTGGTTTACTCCCCAAATGATCACAATGGCCCAAGCTGAGCTGAGCCAAAGCCAGGAGCTTCTTCTGGGTGTCACATGCAGGTGCAAGGTCCCAAGGCTCTGGGTCATTCTCAACTGCTTTCCCAGGCTATACGTGGGAAGTGGAGCAGTTGGGATTAGAACCAGAGCCCATAAGAGATGGCAGGCAGGGGATTAACCAGTTGAGCCATTACACCAGCTCCCTCTTTTCTTGTTTTCTCTGCCCTCTAAGACCTTTCCTACACTCCCTTCCCCTTCTTGTCTCTCATTTCTTCAACTGATGAATGAACAAACACATGAATGAATGGGGCCTGAGAGCTGCTACAGGCGGATGACAGCCAGAAAAGCTGAGGGAGGAAGCTGGGTGTTTACAAAAATGGCTTTAGGTGTCACCAGTTCTCTAAAGCAGTCTCGTGTTATTTCTAAAAACAAAGACGGACAGGACAGTTAAGCCCAAATCGCAGGCTTTCTCGACCAACTCTTGGAATACAATAACCATTCTGTTTCACAAATACATAAAAAACCCACTTGGCTCAGTTTCTTCAACAGATTATTCTCATTTCAATTGAGCTCCTTTGTAAAAAGGGCCCATCTGTAAATTGGCAGCTGGGGGCTGTCCAAGTAAGCAAGAAACATCCAAAGAGAAAACACTTGAATCAAAATTTCAAAGTAAAAACAAAAAAGTTGTATTTAAACAATCAAACCATTAAAATATTTGTGTATCTTAAAAATTCAATGACAAAAGAATATTGTGGTGAAGTGAACAAAGATTTGGGTTTAAGACAACAGTCATGTCTTGCATAACTTATCAGTTTAATACCGTGGGCCTTAGGGTCTTCATTTACCAAAGAGCTAATGCAATAATGCTGTTTTTCCCAGAACAATCAAGAGAAGTATTTGATATAATGCATATGGATCATACTTTCTGCTATACTTATCTACACCTTTCAGAGCTTCCTCTGTGCTCTCGTAGTACCCTTCACATTTTCCCAATAACTTTTACTGAATTACATAATCATGTATTGCATGCAGGTGACTTAAACTAAAAGCAGCTTTTACTTATCCCTACTTCCTTGCACAGTACTAAGTTCACAGTATGTGCAAAAAATAAATCATTTGCGACAATGAACACAGATTTTTGTTGTTGTTGTTGTTGTTAAAGAAACTCTGAAATTTAAAAACTGCTCAAGAATACTTACCATTCCAAACACAGGTATTTTTGATCTTTGGAAAAGCCTCTGGACAAAGGACAGTCTTGTTGACAAATAGTGCCAGGAAAACTGCATCTTAACACTCAGAAGAATGAAACAAGACCCTTAAATTACACCTCACACAAAACCAACGCAAAATGGATCAGGGACTTGATACCATCAAATTACTAGAGAAAACATTGGGGGGAAACTCTGCAAGACATTGGCATAGGCAGAGACTTCTTGGAAAAGACCCCAGAAGCACAGGCAATTAAAGCAAAAACAGACAAATGAGATTACATCAAGCTAAAGAAGCTTCTATATCGCAAAGGAAACCCTCAAAAAAGTAAAGAGCCAGCCAATGGTGTAAGAAAAGATATTTGCAAACTATGTAACTTGTAAAGGATTAATATCCAGACACTCAACAACAAAACAAACAATGCAGCGAAGAAATAGGAAAAGGGGACCTGGCACTGTAGCCTAGTGGCTAAAGTCCTCACCTTTCATGCCCTGGGATACCATATGGTCACTGGTCCATGTCCTGGCTCCTCCATTTCCCATTCAGCTCCCTACTTGTGGCCTGGGAAAGCAGTAAAGGACAGCCCTAAGCCTTGGGAGCTTACACTCACATGGGACACCTGGAAGAAGCTCTGGCTTCAGATTCGCTCAGCTCTGGCCATTGGGGCCACTTGGGGAGTGAACCAGCAGATAGATGATCTTTCTAACTCTCCTTCTGTTTGTATATCTACCTTAAGGCAAAGGATGTGATGGAGCATTTCTCCAAGGATGGCCAAGAGTCGTAAGAAAAAAATGCTAGCCATCAGGGAAATGCAAATTACAACCACAGTGAGGTTTTACCTCATCCAAATGGGAATGGCCATCATACAGAAATCAGAAAATAAACGCTGGTGAGGACACCGGGCAAAAGGAACCCTAATCAGCTGCTGTTGGGAAGACAATCTGGAGACTCCTCAGAAATCTCAAAATGGATCTATCATGTGACCCAGCCACCCCAATCCATGTGATTTACCCAAGGAAACTGAACATAGATGAGAATTATTTGTGGTTTCGTGTTTATAGCAGCTCAATTCACAATTGCCAAAGATATGAAAAAGCTCATGCCTATTGTGGATGATTGGATAAAGAAAATGTGGTGACTAATCACTATAGACTGCAACTCAGCCACAAAGGAGAATAAAATGCTGTTTTTTGGCAACAAAATGGTGCAACTAGAAATCATGTTGCATAGTCAATAAGCCAACCACCAAAATGCAAATATCCTATGCTTACCCTGATCTAACTTATACAGAGAGCATCAAAAACTGTAATCTGAAAAAAATGAACATTTTAAGATGTGATTTTTGTTTATAGCCTCTGTTTACAGTGAACAGTGACTTATTTTTCTCTGCTTGTTATTTGTTGAATATTTTACCTAAGAGAGTGTTAAGCTTGTAATTATTAAATGAACTGAAAGTACATTACTTGAGAAATTTTTAAAGATTAAAAAAAATTATTGGAAAGGCATCATACAGAGAGAAGGAGAGACAGAGAGAAAGATTTTCCATCTGCTGGTTCACTTCCCAAAGTGGCTGCAACAGCCAAAGCTGAGCCGATTCTGAAGACAGGAGCCAGGAGCTTCTTCTGGGTCTCCTACGCAGGTGCAGGGTCCTAAGGCTTTGGGGCATCCTCTACTGCTTTCCCAGGCCAGAAGCAAAGAACTGGATGGGAAATGGGCAACCGGCACATAAACTGGTATCCTTATGGGATCCTGGTCAATGCAAGGTGAGGATTTAGTCACTAGGCTGTCACGCTGGGGATGTCACTGGAGAAATTTCAAACAGTAAAAAATAAAGGATAATGATGGTGGAGGAACATGGGCAGGGGAGGGGGCTGGTGGAAAGTACCACTTTGCTCCTCAATCTGTGCAGTAAAATGTATGCAATTGGTTCCTTTTATGTGATTTTTTTTTAAAGAAAAAGTCCCTTTTGCCAGTTTGTAAATAGGCAAGCATATAAGCATATCCACAAATAGGACATTTTCTCTGGAAGTCTTGGTTCCTCATCAAGGCTTACATTTAGCTTATTTTACATATCGTTATCCTTTTGGACAAAATTCTCC